TAAAGCATGCCATGGCCATGGCATCAGACCAGCCAAACGCATACAGATCATTTACCAGAGATGTAAGAGGTCTTATGATCCGTTTGAAAAGAGATCCATCCAGTTTACTAGTTGAGTTGAATTCAGTTGAACATATATGTAAAGGCATTAATTCAAATTTCATTCGCTTATATTCTGGGGGTATCGTGAATCACGGCTGCATAGGATCATTTCATTATTTTCATCCAGTAAATGATCAATGTAAAACGATCTTGTCCAATTTTTCTTGTAAAATAAATGTTTGCTTGTTTCATATGCATGTATGTATACCATTACCGAAACCGAAACGAAAGTGATATGCAAATGTTTACAGTGGCACAGTTTTCATGGAGAGCAATGCCATACATACATATGTATGTACGTATGTAACATATGAACGTCGTCATCGTTCATGTTCCATATCTTAGACCGTGTGTGTGTGGTATGTACATAGGTAATAATTATGGTAATCATAATAGTAATCGTTAAGAGACTTCTGCCGAGTTGCTGCTGTTGCTAGTGCCGATGTTCCAGTGCTGGTGTTGATACTGATGCTGATCCTGATGTTTGCCTTCCCTCAAACAGATCAAATCTAGTTCACATATGTACATATGTACATTCTTACACTCGTATTCCATTCATATTGTTGGTGTGCTGTATGGATGGTACCGGAACCAAATAAGCGAGTTAGTTTATAATACACAAATTAGAGACATATCCAAAGCAAACCAAATCGAGCCGCAGCCGGAGCCGAGGCCAGCTGCATGACATTTATCTATATATTGTTCGAACAGATTTCTAGCTCGTGCTAACTATTCAACATGGAATATACAAACTCGCACAAATGCTTATTTATTCTTTCCATTTCTTAAGTGTTACAGTGGAATATAGAATATTGTGAATTAGATGCACATACAGGGAACACAGTTTGTATACTTTTTCGAAGCCATCTATCGCTCATAATCATACTCGAATAGCTTTTTATCATAATTAATTAATAATTACTCGCATCTACATATATACATATGTACATACATACATATGTAGCTTTATTATTCACCTCATCTGTCACCTACCATTTCAGTAAGTTAACTAACATACTGCCTCTGTTAGTTTGTCAATCTTAGATATCAGCTTGAGCAGCTTTTATTGTGATGGCTTAGGCTTACTCTGCAAGAGAGTTAATTGGCTAGCGATGAGTTGGCACTTCCCCCCTTCTTTGATATTATCTTCCGTTGATAAGCTTTATTGAGTCAGTCCTATGTTAGTGCTTGCCCTTCCTCCAAATTGTATGTGGAGCCTTTCCACAAGCTGATTTTAATAATCATCTATGTATGTATATTTCAACATAGATTATTACATATATGTATGCAGAGCATCCCCTGTGTCGAGCAGGACCGTGCCCCAACATTCATCACTTTGCTTCGCTTTTGTATTTTTTGTTTGCTTCCTGGTTACATCTACATATGTATGTTTGGATGCTGCCATTCTAGTCGCCGTCGTCTGTCCAAGTGATTCCATAAAAATCGCATAAATCCAAAACAAAACGTTTTAGTCGCCAGCCGTTATCCTTCATACTCCACCCCCCTGTTCATCCTACTGCTCCCTGGCCTCTTGCACCCCTTCCCAACCCACCCGTGCCCTGGCCTAGCCTGTCTCTTCAAAAATAGTTTATGTACGAATTTTTGATTTGATGCCAAAATGTCGCAAAATAAATATGTTTAAAAACAGAGAAATCTTTGGCTGCTATGCGAAATGTGGCCTAAGCATGCCCCATCCCCCATACACCATACTTACCATACATACCATACATACGCCCACATCCGATAATGCATCCTCTCGTTCTTTCTCGCTGCATCTAAATATACGAGCATTTTACTTGATTTCAAACATTTATCGGTAATTGACATTAGGCCGCGAATTTCATGCATCATAATTTAAATGTCAAATATCTCTTTGTTTTCTGACCACACAGGTTTTTGTACACCCAATAAAGTTCTGTAACCTTGCAAGCCCTCTACGTATATTTATTCTAATTGTTTGTTTTTTTTATAAATAGCGTTTCAGCATTCGTTCCCTATTTCGTTCGCTATTTCGTTCTCTCTTTCTGTATCTCTTTCCCATTCTTATGTGCTACACGTGCCATTCATTTGAGTTGACTTTTATTCTTGTATTCTATTTATTCATTTATATTTTATTTTATTGTATGGAAAATTTTCGTCTGAACTTGTCTAAACTTGATATATTTCATTCTCACAACAGAATTCATATATTTCATTGAAGATCAGCACAGACAGACAGCACTACTCAACATAATTTTTTTACTTTTTACTTACCCTTCAAACCAAACCAACGTTCAAACACTAAAAAACTCACGATTAAAAATATTTATCTCAAATGGTCATTGATGATTTTTGTAAATGTTCGTATTAATTTTATTGCCATCGCCGCTTGAACTCTGAGGCAGCTGCGTAGAAGCAGCGGCCACACAAGAAAATCAAATTCAAAGCCGAAAAAGAAATGTTAAAATTATTTTGCAATGTCAACGAATATTTTGTTTGTGTCGTGTAAGGTGACATTTCCTGCGGCTCCACCAGAAAAGGCCTTCGAAGCATTTTTCTCGGTCAGCCATTGACTGACTGACTGCTTAGTGTGTGCCATTGGCCAGGGGGACTACGAGGTGTGGGGTTTGGGCAGGCCTGGTAAGGGGTGGGGGTCTAGCTGCAGTTGGGAACATTTCGGTTGTTTGGCGTTCAAAAAAATAAGCTGACACTTGTTGCTGGCCTTTAGCCATAAAATTTGCAAAAAATGCTGAAAAATTCGTCGAACTTCAGCGAAATTCAATTTCTCTCATCAGTTGAAAATTCATATTATTGAATATGGAAAATGCATACAAAACTTAAATTTGCCAGTAATTCATATTGTTTTTAATATACAAATGGATACATAGGTATGTACTTTAGGGTTATGCTTAAACATCAATTTTTAGGTTCTTAACAATGAATAAATAATTATTAAAATTAAATTTTGTACTTCATTTATTTTTGCATACACAAAGCTGTCGAATATAATATATTTTAGAGCTAAGATAGATTTATCAGGCATATATTTCTCTATTTTGTTTGGAAATTCCCATGCCCATCTAAAAATCTTTCCATGCGCATTTGGCTCTAAGCCTGATACATAATTAATCGCAAATATTATGATTATATGTACATATAAGGGTACATATATGCTATAGAAATCCACAAAATTTTAAAAATGTAATCACTTAAATTTCAGCTTATTGATATTAATCACGCTTTTGTTTTTGTTGCTCTGTTTCCGAGTGGCATAGGCGCTGTATGGTCTAGAATCATCCCTTTAGCTCCCCTTCGATCTGTTCTATCAGCACTTACATATGTACATACATATGTACATATGTATTTGTTCGAGTATGTTTGGTTCTGCACTTGAAACTGTAGAAAACTGATGAAAAAAAACCTTACGTTTTCAATTTCCTCAAACCAAAAATGTAATTTCGTTTTGCAGCTTTCCAGAGGAGCTGCGTTCTCAAGAAGTAAATTTGAGAACCCAGGAATGTCTGACTGTAAGCATTTATTTGATTTATTGTTGGTTCTTTTTTTTAAATATTTTTAGTTAAGATCTGTTGACGGAACGACAGAGCGGAAGGGCTCATGTTTTGCACGCGCCAAATTTTTTGTTTCTGTATTTATTTATTCTTTGTGCTTGTATGTAAGCATGTGCGTATGTATGTAAGAATGAAATGATTGCGGAAAGTTTCCTGTACGATTACCCAACCAAAGGAGTTCTTTATTATCGTTTATAATACTTGGGACTTGAGTTTGTGGGAAAGCCTTTTAATGTCAGAGTGTTGGATTTGCATCTTAGAAAATCACATCAGCGCCAATAGCCGAGTCATTAAAATAGCCATGTCTGTCTGTCCGTCCGTCTGTCAGCCACATTTTGTATCCAGATTTCTGTGACATCAAACTGTTACAAGTGTATTTCATAATTTTTTTTACATTGCATTGTTGCAATTGCAAGTACGTGAAGCAGAGCAAGCATTTAATTAAATCTAATTAATTTGTATTGTAAATTGTATTTTTACCAAAGAAAATATCCTTTCTCTCTCCTTAATTTTGCTCTTCGATAACCAAACGCATTAAGGGTATCCACAAATCGTTTAGCAAAAAACTCCGCCTCTGCGTCTTTTCATTTTTGCTTTTTCTTTGATTTCATTTTATCTCACTTGCTACAAGGAAAAACCAAAACAAAAGCAAAGCAACAAAAAACAAAAAAAAACAAAACGAAATAAAACTTTGCGGTTGAGTTTATATTTTCCCACGAGCCGTTGCTCGACCAACACTTAGTTTGTGGAGGAGCAAAAGAAGGAGGAAGAAGGGTTTTAGAGGGAATATGAGAATTGTGAAGGAGACATGGGCTGAGCTGGAGGGGGAGGAAGGGCACCCACCCATTTGCTTACTTGTATCATATTTGTGTGTTTCAAAGCTTTTCTACACACACACACAAGCACTCGCTTAATTGATAAGAAGTTTCACGCACCTTGCTTCCCGCAAACAAGACACGCGTGACGAATTAGCAACAGTTAGTAATGTCTGAAGGGAAGCGAGGGAAGGGAAGGGTCAGTGCTCACCCCTAGAGTTCGATTATCACCTTCTTGTCGGAAATAATGCTGATGATCATACTGTACATACTGATATATGAGCATTTATATACATATATGTATATATATATTCAATATATTTTCTATACTTCCCTAAAAGATTTACATATTTTATATTGCAAATTTATAATTATTTTAATCCACACAACATTTTTTGCCGTTACCGGGGCACTTACGATCCTAAGTCTCTTGCATCTCTAGGCATAGTCCTCGCAATTCTGTCAATCACCAAAGCCGATAGCCCCACGACTGGCACAAGCGACCAAAGGCACCCAAAAGGCATCCAAAATCGCACACGGAAGGCGGCAGGCAGCCTCGAGTGGATTTCATTTGAGGTGTCGAACGGCTCTGGTTTGGTTTGATTGCTTGGAAATTTTCATACACTTGTCATGCGCCATCGATCGTTCGCTTTGTGAAGGGTTCTTGTGGAGCTACAAACCGGAATGGACCACAAACAAGCCAAGCCAAGCCAAGACAATTCAACCTAAGCATAGCACGGCTGACCGGCTGACCAATGAATGTGTAAATGTTTATTGGCACTGTGGTTGGAGGGTCGGCAATAATAAAGGTCCCAAAGAGCTCTGAAGCACACAGACGTCTTGATAGATATTTCCAAGGAAAGAGAGAATATATGGAACATATGTATATGTATGTATGTTCGAGAGTTGCAAACAAGTTTGTATGTTTTCTTTACGAATAAAGAGGAAGTTTTACTTATATTTAAAGATCGAAATTGTCCCAATCATCGATGTCCCTTTCAAACATATCACTATCGTCAGTGTTTTTTCTTCTTTTGCGGTTTGGATCATCGTATACTCGACATGTCTCCAGACACTCATCCTTTGTATAGAAGCGATTTGGGTTTCCGCCACACCCGCCATAATAGTAGAATATACAGCGATTTGTCAAATAGTCGAAGCCCCAAACTTTGACCCAATCTTTGCAGGGACCAGGATCGACCAGATAAATGCATTTGGCTGAGATTGGACTAAACGCTTGTAAGTTATAGGAAATAGAAATCTAGATAGATAACCAATTAGACTTACGTTGTCGCACTGTAAAACCTTGTGGGACAAGTCCCGCCAGAGGTGCCACAAGGAGCTGTCCAATTGTTAGAAATAGATACATTGCTGCAATTAGGAAACTATATTTTGTCATATATATAATCGATTGACACTTTAGTTGAAGTAACACTCAATGCTAATGTGAGTGGGAATCGTCAACGACCCTCACAGAGTGTTTTTCTGCATATCTGCAAAGGTTTAAACTTACAGCCTTAAAGGGCATGTCGTACATACCATATTCGGTGAGAAATACCTTGCTTTATAATACTGAATACTGACAGCAAATCAAATTGTTTTCGAACCATTGTGACTGACTGACTGGCCTGGCCAGCGCGTTAGCCTCATAAATGCGTTGGTAAAACGCGCTTGACGAGGTTCAGGGTCAACGATGTAATATTTTAATTAATTTGCTGTTCTTTCTTTTGCCCTCCACGTTCTCTACTTGCGCTTATTTGTGTCTCTTTTTCTCTCTCTGTTTGGAGCTGGGAAAGCAGAGTCCCGAAGATCCAATTTTGTACAGATCCTTCGTCTATGTATATATGTACATACATACATACAGACAGTTTGAACCGACGGGATCAGCTGTTTTTACTCGACCCCGTTAGTCTTCTCCTCTTCTCTTGATTTCTGTGGCTGTGGCCCACCCATATTCCCATTTCCCATGGCCAATAAGTCCTCCTCTTCTTCTGTTGGTTCATTATGTAGAAGCTTTGTTTCGGGTTTGTTTCAGTTCGATATGTTCATTAATCATTCGCCTCATGCGAGGGTGGGCTGTTAAGTAATCGGCCTTACCAAAATAACACATTTCTAACCACCCATAAATATTTTGTTCGATTTTGCTGTTTTGTTCTATGGGCGGAGATTTGAGTCGAACGATGAAGGCAACTGTTTTGAAGGGATACAAAAATTGGAGATATGCTGAAAAAAGTATACATATAGAGCTAAAAGAGCTATGTTGACAAATAAAAAAGAAAAATGTAAAACAAATCATGTTTTCCTTGGTTAGCCGGCTATTTATCAGTCCGCCCTCGTATTGAGTGGTCATCCCTCTTCGCCGTTCTCCCTCCCGACTACACACCCTTTTATCAGCTCCCTTTCGGGCTTTTGTTCCTCCAATTTGCTTAATTAACTTCTAAACGTCGCCTTTGGCTTCTTTTTTCGATATTTTGCACTCGTCCACTCATCTTACTCAGTCTCTTCTCCAACTCCAGCCTCCTCTCCTCCCCTCTCCAGCCTGCTTCCACAATGTCTTCTTTGGGGCCACCACCTCTTCTTCTGGCTCCATGGCATGCGAAATTCTTCTTTTCGACTAATTAGAATTTTCGTTTCGTTTCGTTCTTTTATCTTCGTTAACTTTGTCTTCATCTGCTATGGCCTTTTCACTTTTTCACAGTCGCAGTGGAATTTCAGTGATCAAGTCAATATAATCGTATACCAAGCACCATTATTCATTCATATTTATCTACATATATACAGTACTCTATACACTATATACACTATATACACTATACTATACACTGCAGTGTCTGTGTAATAATTTTTTAGTTTGCCTTGCAGTCTGTAGAGGCAGATTCTAGTTCTGAGTCCCATTAAATTTCATCAGTCTGCTTATCATTCATTTACCAAAATAACTGTCGAAAATATAGCCCTTACCTTAACACCGCCCGCTTCGACCTTGGTTGGTTGGAAACTTTATTGTTGCTTTGCTTGGGCTTTTTCATTCTTATAAAGTATTATTAAGATAAGTAGAAGATTTAATTCGTGTTGGAAATAGTGCGAAAAAAAATGCGCAAGGCTGATAAAAAAAAGTTTGAAATGTGAAAATACAAAAATCGAAATCGTATTTTTTACACATTCGAGATTAACGTCGCATTTTTGCAGAATCGCGCGATACAGACCTTGATTGATAACTAAAATATACATACATACATATGCACATATGTAGAAATAGGTATACATAGTATCTATGTATGTATGTGTACGCACTAAATATATTTAGTGATAGTTTTGCTATAGCAACTAGCCGTTAGGGAAGTGAAAGGCCTTCGAACCAGAAAAAAAGCACACACAAAAAATGACAGAAAGAATGAAACGATCGAAAACGGAGAGAAAAAGAGACATTTTTAAAAGTGATGATAAATTAGGTTGGTTTAGTTTGAATTATACTACGACACTTAAGTGTGTGACAATTGATAAGATTCTGTGCCTCAGATATAGATATTGCGTTGCTCTTTCACTACACCCATACATATGCATATGTGTGAGTCTACATACAAATGTAGCCAAGAGGCCAACTATAGCTATAGCTATAGCTATCAACGCGCACGTTTCGATATTGTTGGAATTCCCGGAGAGGGAGGGGACTGATGGGCAGCGATGGCGCGATTTTGGGGGAACTTAATTAGCAACATTCTGAATAAGAGATGAGTGGCGGACGCTTTGAATTACTTCAAGCGGGGGGAATCACAGCGAAGAGTGCCGAAACCATTTAATCTGGATTGGAATACACGCGGAAAAGCTCGCATGGTATTGAGGGATCGCGGGAAAAGCCCTTGTGGAGCGGAAGACACAGCGGATATGGTACAGTATACAAAGTGATGGCGAAGCAAGCCAACCCAAAACCCCCCACCCCCCGCCGCACTCGTCAACCATCCACCCCCCAAGGATCGTAGCCAAGGAGTTAAAGACACATTCATTCATTCAGATAATCATCATTGAAATACAATTCAGAAATATAAAGTTTACTCTCCGAATGAAAGAAAATCGATTGGTCGATTGACTCAAATATCGCCCTCAACTTCCTCCTTAAACTCTAGACATTTTGAGATGCCACAGTGACAAAGGGGATAAGGAAGAGAGACCCCAGGTGGGCTAAAATTAACTTAGCCCAAAACTTTTCACTGTCTCACTCCCCGCTGCTGTTGGTGCCGACGCTGCTGCTGTTTCTGTTGCTCTTGTCGCTGTCGTTGTCAGGGAAACGTAAGAAACTGTAGCTTCTAAATCTGTTTGGGACAAAATGTGTCTAAGGCTGACCAAAAATATCCATCAGATGCATGCGTATCTGTGTTTGCGCGTATCTGTATATTTGGCCCGGTGTTGTGCAGTTTAAGGGTTTGCCGAACGCATCGCGGCTGATATTTTTGTTGGCTGCCAGCGCAAAAGGTCACGCTCAGAGGGACAGAGAGACAGACGAGCAGACAGACAGCCACACAGACAGACAGACAGAGAGTTCTGAGTGACAGAGAGCAAACAAAGAACCGAAATGGAAAGCAAAAATTCTCTTATCCAAAAATAAACAAGAAAATTATCTGAGCCCACACACACATGCGTGTGGGGGAAAATTTTTGTTTTGGGAAGGAAAAATGAAGAGCAAGATTTTCCCGCTTATCGTGCGTGTGTTTAATGATTTTCCCTCGACGATAACCTCAAGTGCAACATTGTCGAGACGTCGGGGGGTTCGAGCTCTGGCTGTTGATTTCGGCTGTGAAGTGGCAGGTATGGACGCCATGCACACCCCGCCCGGCTTCAATTCCCCTGATACGATGCTGTCTGCCTCCTCTGCTCACCGCCCAGGGGTCGTTCTGAGTACGGTTATACCCTCGTACACGCAGTGTACGTATGGTATGCTTGCACTCTCGCACATCAAATTTTCCCCTGTGGCTCGGTCTTTCGGCTGCTCAAAACTCATCTTTCGCTGTCGAGTGGGTCCTTTGCCCTGTGCCACTTGTGTGCGCCACTTCTTAAGCACTTTTCCGCGGCACGCAAGTGCCCCACCACACAAGCAAGTGCATTAACGGGGGTGGAGGATAGTTTGCGGCAATCGCCGGCATTAGGAGCCAAGTGGGTCCCTAGGAAGTCCCCCTCAAGCATTTTGATTCATGAGGCTTGAAATTAGTGGAGAATCAGGAGTGTAACGTCAAGTTGGTAGCAAATACAATAAGGATAATTGATTGATCTGAACGTGGAAGGAGTTGATGCACATCACATCAATATGCACATATGTATGTATGTATGTAAATTTGAATGGAAACCTTATACGATTTAAGGATCTTCTCCAACTGAGAAGATTCCACTTTCGAGGAATAGGAAATATGCGCATCAATCTCCAGCACAATATGCTCTTTTTCCATTCGCCCCATAAACTCTAGTTCAATGCCTGCCTGTTTGCATCTTTAACCTGTTTACAATTACCAGCCCCATCTATGTCTTGATTCCCGTTTAAATCGCTCAAATTCCACTTTTACCTTTCAATAAAAATTAAGAAATTAACCAAGACTTTTGTTTAATTGGTACTTCAACTTTAAATTAGGCATGCCCCATTTGAAGCCCAATCAGTAGCACATCCACAACCCGAGTGCCATCCCCAATCTAAAAGCATCCCTAAATATTGTACAAGATTTTCCTCATAGAACTTTCTTCCCATTCCGCATTTTGCCTCGACCATACTCTCTCCACATCAGTCGTTCACTCGGAGACATTCCCCACCTATCTGTCTCTTATTTTCCCTCCTACACCCTACATCCTACATCTAGCTCCCAAAGTGTCCCCCCGCTCTAACCAATTCGAATGCCGATTCCGTTTTCAATTCCAATTCCCAATTCCTTTCACAGACGCACAGAAAAATTAACCTGGCCATAAAATGACCTTGAACCCGGCATGACCTTGACACCTCGCCCTCCACCCCCATATTCAAAGGATAAATATACAAAAATCCCACAGCCAAATACCATCAAAAACATTTTCGCTGTCGGGACGCATGTAATGGGCTCGGGGCCGGGAGGATGCAGCTATATCACAAGGAAGGAAGCAGGAGGCGAGGAAGCAGAAGGCCATTGGGCATGACCTTCAGATAAAACGCAGTAGATGTGGGAGATGGAGCAGGAACCGGAGATAGGAGCCGGTTCGAGGAGCTGAAGAGGACTGAAGATGGTGCCCTGGTCGGTGAATCCTTTAAGGACTGTTTTACTTGATTTCGCAGACCACGAGATTCATGAGCCACATGAAGCAGAAGGAGACGCGTCGATAAGTTGGATGTGGAAGTGTCTGTCTGGTCCCGCACACGTACCATCCTCATTTGCCTTCCTGTATGAGTGTACGACCACCACCACCGACGCCCCGATTCCGGTTGAATGTCCTTTGGCTGTCTGGCAAGTTTTCTTGCGAGGTTTCATTACCGTTTTGAAGGTCGCAGACACCACCTCGCCAGTGCACTCTTCCTACTTGGCCACCCACTTTTTTGGGTGAAAAATTATGCCAAATGGGAATGGGAAAGATACGACATAAAGAAGGCATACAGGATTTTTAGTACCGGAAAAATGTATGGACTGGAGGGGGAACGTTGTAAGGAGCGATAAAACTTAAGACTCTAAACTTTAGATACCACTACTTTTATACCTGGTAATCAGTCAGTGATTTATTTGGAATTTTAAAACATTTTTTCTGTTTCAATATGGTCTATATCTTTTATTTGAGAATTTAAGGTTTTAGTTTTATGAACCATTAAACTGACCGGTTTAGCCATACGAACTTAATATTGGGAATAGTAGTAAAAATACTGTACCATTTTTCCGAATCTCTGGGAATCAAAAAAACGTTAAAGTTCAGACAGTAGAATGATGCGCAACATTTGTTGCCAGCGAAATGAAAAAGCGCGCTCAAGATAAAAAAGCCACTCAAATGTTACACTCGCTCAGTCCGCTCTCTCTCTCTCTCGCGGTGCTAATGCTCTGACTGGCGTTGCTGTTGCTATTTGCTGCCAGCGCCTTATTTATTACATATTTACATATATACATTCATACATATGTATGTACAAACTATCATTTTGTATATTTGCGAAATTATTAAACTTTAGCTCGAGCTTTTGGTGTGAGTGGTCTATAATTAGTATATCTTGTTAATCGGTTTCTATAGTTGGTGAAATACCGGCCAACCGGTAGGAGCACAGAAATAAAAAAAATACAAAAAACAAATGAGTTTAAAAGGAAGAACAAGACAAAAGCCGGCAGCGCTTTAGATGTGCGCTAGACAAAGACGGAGCGTTATAAGCTTTGCCGCTGCTTCTATTTCTTTCTTTTTCTTTCTGTTTGCGCTAGCTCTGCCACGTTCTTCGTTTTGTTGTGAGTGCGTTTTCATGCACGCTAATGAAAGCAAAACCAAAGCAAAATAAAAAAAAATAACAGCAAGCGAGCGTTTGCTTTTCTTACATGCATATGTACACATGGATGGTATGTGTTGCAGGTCCGTTCCGTTATAAAGCACACACACTGCAGCTGGTTCTGCGTGTGTGTGTGCGTCTTTGCGCGCGCAACTGTACGTCTTGTCTTGTCTTTTGTCCTTCCTCTTCCCATGTCCCTGTCGCAGCCTCTTGTTGATCACTTATTATCGTCTCTGTGCGTTTTTCTTGTTTCAGTAGCTGCTCTTGTTTCCTGATCAGACTCCTCCCTTCAGCCACCTCAAATAATTTATAATTGAGGGTTTTCGCAATCTGTCGTCTGATACGACAGCGGACGGCTCCAGATGAGACCCCAAAAGGTGGCGCCAGACATAGCACTGCACTAAATGGCAGCCGATCAGTCGAAGTTTGGATACTCTCTACCAATCTCTTGTTTTTGAACAATGATGAAAGAAGCCGCAATGGAAATGAATATGTACATATGTATGTATGTATATGTATATGTACATAGCAATAGCAATAGCAATTTGGAAGAATATCGTAATACAATAAACCAGGGGTATAAAAGCCATGCAGGGAACATATTGGAGGCAATATCTTCTTAATAGAGCCGTCTTGCTGAGCCATCGGGAATGTCCTTCCTAACGAAAGATTTCGCTGGAATGGTATCAAAAGGCATTGGGAATGTCGTATAGCGAATAGGAAACCCTTGACGCGCCGAGTGTAAAACGTATGGGACGATAGCGACAATGTTGTACAAAACTGATGCGCAAAATGCAATTTACAGTTCCCACCGCCTTATCAGTGTGCGACAGTTTTGGGCCTAAAAAGCATAACTCATGACCGTAACAATATTGTGGGACTGAATGGCTTTTACTGCAGTCGGCGGCACACCTGCCATTGGCAGCGACGGCGGCGGTGGCAGCAATCTTATCAGCTTGCGATTTGTACAATGTTACTGCACGTGTACCAGTCCCCGTTAAATAATATCAAGTAAGCAGTGAGGGGTGGTGTAAGGAGTACGACTGAAGTGGACGAGGGTAAGCGTTTATCCGTTACGTAGGGCAAGGCGCCGCCGTCGCTGTTGGGTTTTTGTGTTATTTTGAAAGCTTAGCAAATTCTTGGCATGCGACGACGCTGAGAGAACTGCAGGCGTCAACACTTGTTGCCGCTATTTACGCAGTTGGTGGTTTTCTGTCTCTGCCTTCCCCGCCTTTTCGCATTTCACAGAAACACGCGCAAAAATGAATTGAAAAAAATCGAATGGCAACAATATTGCAAAACTTATTGCAATACAATTTTAGCAGGAAAACGGCCACAACAACAGAGAAAGCACATGCTAAAGTTAGCAGAAAAGCCAAAGCGTAAAATGCGCGGCAAGTTCAGTTCTCTCTCCATACCGATCACGCTTCGTTGTTAAATCACAACAAACCAGCAGAGAAAGTCTAAATTAAGTTTGGTGGCCGAACCTTTAATTCCCTTGCGGATAATTGTTCCTTCGGTATTTGTCAGGAGTCCTGACTCAGGATAACTATTATCTGCCAATATTATCCGGTTTGTAAATCAACTATTAGTATACTATTTATGTACATACTACTATTATATTCAGATACAGTGATCCTATTTTGGACGTTGCAATTTGTATATTGCATTAGTTTCCTGCGTTGCTAAAACTTGCTTTAAAGTTTAAACTATGATACTTCTTAGAAAGGTACATACATACATACACATGTCCATAAATATGTACATATGTACAAATGTATGAATTTATATAATTATATCAAAATACAAAGTGCTTGAGAATGGGATGGGTGTGTTAGGCGATAGTGTGTGTGAGAGAAGGGCCAAGGCCTGCACAATGCACGCGCCAAAACGTGCATTGGGCGAGGGGTGTGAGCGGTAGTTCGGCAGCGATACCACGATGAACTGTAAATCAAATCGAAGCAAAGCAAAGCGCAGCGAAATGCGAATGTACACGTGTGATCCATCGTTCAGGAGTGCAAAAGCCCTATTTGAGCGAAAACCACCTGATGATGGATGCGATTGCTGGAGCGGGGACTGGCAACCGGCTTATTTTTACCCTTTCTATAATTTAATTCAACTTGAGGTAGGGGCATTCAAAACACTTCCCAACAGAAGGCAGTAAAGAAGTAAGAGCACAAATTTTAACAATGAAAGGTTAAAGGGAAACACCCACAATATGTGGTGAATTTGCCTAATTTTATCACATTACAATTTATTTTCCTTTTGCCTTTGCCATTACTCACTATCTCTGCTCGTTGCCCTCTTCTCTTCCCTTTCCCACTTGAATTGCCAAAAGCAAAACAAAATGAGTGAATTCCCAGTACATGTACCGGCATGTATATATGTATATGTACACCGGCAGAGCGCTCTTTCGCTCTCACTTGTATTCTCTCATGTGTATTTCTTGTGGTTGTCCTACCCACAGTTGCATTGATTGCGAGTGTGTGCGTGTGCCGACTGTAAATAAACAGAGAGTAGTAAGAGGTACATATGTATTGCAGTCTCTTATGAAATTGCAGAACGTTCGAGAGAATTACGGCGATATTCGTAAATGCAAAAGCGAAACTGCGCAGCAAACTGTCCCAATCCCACTCAAAGAAATACGCTATCTACATGTGTATCCAATAGTATTGATTGCTCTCTCGGCTTTTGTATCCCGTTGGCAACATCCAATTCGTATGAGCAGCATTCTGCATACCCTTCGGTAAAGGATATGATGAAGTGTATCATCTCTAGCTCCGACGAACGTAGAAAACCGCTACAGTGAATACAGAAAGTCTCTAGGCTCTACAGCTAATCTTCTCAAAAATATTATGCAGTTCTTATGTCTTACAGAGGCAAAGAGTTTTAATTGAGATGTATAGGCAAGAAGCTAGTCAAATGCATGAATAGGTCCAGAAGTGTCAGTCTGTGCAAAATACATTATTAATTACATTTCAGAGCAGGTTGGAAAACATAATTTTAACACTAATTAGAGAAAATAGGGTATACAAATGTCCATACTCATAACAGAAACTGATAGACGTTTCATTCCATACACACTTTTGTTTTATTCTTTGACCTGTTATGCTTAAACCTTATTTTATGAACAATCCAATAAAAAAAAGAGTCCTTCAAATTAGCCAATCTTGTAGAACATAGATTGAACTATCGAATAAAATTATATGTTAAGTGCTGAGGGTACTTGCTAGCTTTTTAAATTAAATCGAATATCAAATTCGGAGGATATGATTTCCGAACATGAACGGAGAATGCTAACCCATTGTCGACCAGTGGGTATTTCGTTTCAATTTACACACAAATATTATGAAACTTTAACAATTTTTACGCTTTTAAGTTGAAAGGTATTGTGGTAAAATTGGTTAGTAATTAAAGAGAAAGGATGGACGTAAAAGGACAATGTTTAAACAGTATTATTTTCCGCGGTTTCTCTCAAGGTGTTCAACTGTTTAAATAAAGCGGGGTTTATTGGGTTAAGTTAGTTTTTTTTGCTCGGTATATTTACGGTATATTATGAAAATGGGAAGGTATATTTCGGTATATTTCTGTGGGCTGGGCATTATATTTTATCGATATGTCCGCAGTCACACTGGACGTCGCAATGTTTGCCGCCTTTAACCAAATTTCAACGCGCCTCCGTCGAGTTCGAACGTACGACGCGTGCTTGGTTCTTCTCTTCGTCTTTGTGGATTTTGGCTGTTTCCCGCACAGAAAAAATTAAGCATAGAATTATTAAGTTTTCCCGTAGCTCGCGCAAAACCACCAATTGAAACACACACACATAGCAAAAGAAAATGCAGAGTAAAACAAACAGAATTACAATAGTGCAAATATATTTTAATAAAATATATTGAGTCCCAAGCCAAACCGAATCGAATCGTATCCGAAATCGGTATTTGAGAATATTGCAATACGTGAGAAAACCGCGCAAAAACTTTCAGTTTCGTTTTCTTCTTTCATTGCTGCCGCAACCGGCAAAAGAGAGGGAAGTGTTTCGTTTGCGGTCCGAGCACCAGACGAGCACGAGCAGAACGAAAAGGAAGGAGGAGAATAGCGGAATAGAAGAAGTCCGAGAAGGCGCTAAAGTACCGCTAGTTCACTAATTTCGTGATTTTTGTGAATTACATTGCCGCCAGACGGTAGTGCAGAACCGCAGAAACAACCAGAACAAATCAAGTACAAATGCATAAGAAAAGCGTGAATTTTCGAGTGAAACACAATTTAACAAAAAATATTAAAATCAAAAAGCTGTAGCGAGAAAAATTATCGAAACACCTACACGGCAAAGCGCGCGTAAAAGAAAATTTTTTTTGGTGTCCCTTTTTGTTGGTGTTTTCTCCCTGACGATTACAAAAATAGAGAAAAAAAAAGAAAAGCAGAAGAAATTCTAACAAATTGGATTACAATTAATTGTTGACGAACTGGCTATATCCACGTCGATATTCCAGAAATAACGGATTCTACTTCGAAACAAAGGCAAAGGGTGAGTTGAAAATTAAAAGTGTTTAGTGAAAAATAATGGGAACAGAAAAGCGGGAATTTGGGAACGATATCAGTGTAGAATGCAGGCATAACAGACGAAAGAGGTGTACTGTAGAGTGCAAACAAGTGTTTTGTATTTTTCTATTGTCGCTGTACTTTTTATTCACACTTCACTCATACATGCAAATGCCTGAAGTTTGAACTTCCAATTCCAATTGGAATTCAAAATGTAACAGGGACTAACGAAAGATTGTCATCTCCCTCTAACATGCAGAAATCCCACAAGATAAGAATCTTCTTTTCCTAAGCTTTCGCAAATGCATATACATAGTAGAATGGAAAGGAGAATGTTGGGAGGGAAGCAAAGAGTGAGCGATTCTTGTTGTTGTGTGATGTATCAAAAATTTTGTAGATTAAGGGAAGCGCTTGCATTTACAGTTATTTGGTTTATTTATGGGATTTTTTGCAACTGTTTGATGAGAAGAAAGAGAAGCAGATAGCACGACAGATAAATAGAAACAGTTGGATGGTATTGTGAATGAATAATAATAAATAATAAAAAAATGAATAATTAAAAATAGTAGTATAATAAGAATAATACAATTAATAATATGTTTCCTAATATTACCGCAAAGTGAAAATTTTGCTAACACGAAATCTTTATTTCTCTTCATATCCCCCACCCCATCCATCTGTGCAGCCACATCCGCAAAGATGACGCTCCCGTTATTCGACTATACTACCTGCTTCAGTCTGACGCACATGGACGAGGAGCTGACATTTAATGCCCCATTCATGATCGATGATATCTTCGATGGCGTGGTCTCCAGCATCCAGAGCGACCTGGCCAAGATCGAGTCGCGCGAGGGCCTCGACTACTTTGACGATATGGAGGACATGAAGCCGGAGATCCGCAACGGAGACTGCATGTGGTCTGCCTCCTCCAGTTGCCACAGTAGCGGCAGCGCCGCTAACAACAACAGCGCCGCATCCAGCTACAGCGATGGCATTGCCATTCCCCTGTCAATTGTTTCGGGCGGGGCCAATCCTTACGAATGCCAACAGCAGCAGCAGAAACAGAACAGCGGCGCCAAGCCAGGAGCCGTAGCAGAGGAGGATCTCCCCGTGATTATCAAACAGGAGCCGCTGGACCACTACCACCTGCCGCCGTCCGTGAAGAAGCGTCTTCGCCTCAGCGTCAGCGAAAAGGTGCCAGCTCAGCCACTAACACTGGAAAGCATAGCCGCTTACGTCGCCGCCGATCAGCTAATCCCGCCCGGCGGCAGCTTACTCCGCAAGCGCAACGTCCTACCCCCAACGCGGAGTTGCAAGATGGCGCAAACGGTATCATCGGGTGTGGGAGAGACCAAGCCTGTCCCCAAATACCTTCTCCCCGACACGCCCCCCCACAGCATTCCCGATGAGAGTGTGCCGGGCACGGCACCCATGTTCCGCCACAATGTTGATCTGAGAGCCTGCGTTATGGGTAGCAACAACATCTCGTTGACCAGCGACGGCGACGTCAGCTGCATTAATCAGATCAGCCGGGAGCTGCAGAACGCCAGCAAGACGCTGTTCCCGTTATTCCCGGTGCCGGAAATCAACGACGTTATGGACGTACTCAGCCAGGATTCTCAGCAGCAGTCGCAGCAATCGATTCAGTTTCTGTCGACTGCAGACTGCTGTGGAGGTTTGGAGGTGGCTGCCAATGCGACAACCGTGAAGGTATCGCCGCCCAATAGCAGCTCTGACTACGACTCTGATGACGAAACCTACCGCAACATGCACAAGAGCACGATGCTCATGAGGCACATAAGCGATCATAGTTATACGCGTTGCAACGAGCTGGACGATAGACACGCCCCGGAGACGCCATCAGATTCGGGTAAGTGTTGTTCCACTTCTCCCTTCCATACGCTTCCGATACCAATAGCTGTAGAGGTTTTAGCATTCAACTAGTGCGGCTACGCTACCCTTTTAATGTGTGTGTGTTTGAGTGTTGAGTAGGTGGGTGGATGTGTGATTGTAAGGAACGATGACGCCCAAGTTGGAAGTAAAAAATCGATCGCCAACGCCTACGTCAACAGAAAACATAGTAGACTCCGCTAGGCGTTACACGTTACACACGCCCACACGCGCGACAGTGGCAGTGGCAAAGAAGCTAGAGTCTGTCTGGGGCAGTTTTCATTGATTTTCGCTCTACCCCCCACCGTTCGTTTCCGCTTGTGCTTTTAGCAGCTTTCTCCATCCCCACCTCCCCAACCATAATATTCACCCACCTCGCAATGGCGGCGCCAGTCATGGCGTCATCCTCTCTCATTTTATTTAATTTTTTTTTGGGGGTATCATCCCCTCTCCCCAGCCATGTCTTGCGCAGTACTACGCCCAAAAAAAAAAAGAAAAAAGAACGCTCTCTCTTTCGGGGCGCAACACCCCATTCGGTTGGGGGCCGCTCTTCAAGGATGTCTGCGACCATGCCACGTGGCAGACGGCGCTCTTCTCTGCCTCTCACCAGCGTGCAGTAGTAGCAGCGTTGCTCCCGGGTTCAATGGCTCCCGAATGGCGCGCAAAATTCATTGAGCAACCCTCGCACGCACACTTACGCCAATATTTTACTACACGCTACTCTACGTTTACGCTACGCTACAACTACAACTAGCACGATGACTGCGCTTTGCTTGATGCTAACTGCAGACGAGACGCTGACGCATTAATAAGAGAGAGAGAGAAAAAAAGCTGCGCTTGCTAAATCTTCACTTGTTATTATTTTCTTGTTGTTTTGCTCTCTGTCTGCTGCTTATCTTCCCATCTATTTTGCCTTTTACTTTTGGGTGTTGTCTGTTACCATGTGCTGCTCTCAATATCTATTTGTGTTCATCCTTGTTTGTGTGTGTTTGTTGTGTGCGAAAACGCCTACACCGGCAGCATTAATCGGCATCAGCTTTGGTACATATGTATGTGTGTGTGGTCATGTATTTTGTATATATGGAAATCCGATTTTATTGACTTTTCACGTATTTTGGCCTAGTGGACTTTTTGGCAGAACTGCCCATACCTACATCAAAATACATTTTTTTTGTGAAATATGATTCATAAATTGATATTTCGCTTACATGCAGGAAAAATGGTTAAAAGAAGAAGATAGTTTCTGGTGCCGCTGTCTGTTCACTTACTCTTACGACACCTCTCCTGCACTCCTCATAATATAATGTAAGGGTGGAAGAAGGACATTGAAATTGCATCCATCATACTAACATAATTATTATAAAAACTTAAAGAAGAGCTGGGCGGCGGGGTGATCCTCAAGGGGTGAAGCAGCAGCAGAGGAGGGCGTGTTTCGTAGAAACGCCGTTGGCAACAACCGGCCGCCCCGTCGTACTCAACATACGCACAATCGTATCTATAGATAAAGTGTGCGTGTTTGCTTTTTTTTTTTTGGCATTTTTTCGCACCTTGCCCTATGCGTATGGGCTGTGTGTGTGTTTCGATTCGTTCCAAAAAATGTTAATGAACGGAACCAAGGTCGCAGTCAACGCTGCCGAAAAAAGTGCGTAGAAAACGAAATAAACGAAAAAACTTTAATTTTTTATGGAGAGACAAACCCTGAAGTTGCTCATAAAAATGATGTAGGGCGGGGGAGTTTGGGCCAGCTTTTATCATTTCATTTCCCTGTTGGCTCCTCTTTTCAGGTTTTTACTTTCGCTTTTCCCTCCTCGCTGCCGTTTGCGCATAAATTGATGCCGCACAAGACCCCCACCTCACACCATTCCAAATTGCCAATTTGAAAAAACATTTGCTGTTGCTAGGCGCGTCTTTTTGCCTTTGTGTGTGCGTCTTATCTCTCTCTCTCTCTCTCTCTTGCTTTCTGTAATACTTCGTTGTGTTGTTGGTTATATTCGCACACGTGTAGCCATAAATTGTTATGCTCAAGGTCGCCAGAAAAAAGCCCATGAAGAGAGCGCGAGAGCAAACGAAATAACTTTGCTGTGCTCTTGCCTCTGTCACGCACTTAGTTGTTGTTTTTTTTTTTGGCAACGCTAGCGCGTCGCTTACTCGCCAACGAGCCTCCCTTTTGGGGTCGTTTATGAGAGATTTCCTGCCGCGCCATTTATCTGAGATATGTACATACATACATGAGTTTGTATGAATGTGTGGCATATCCACGTCCAAGAATGTTGCAAATATAAAATGTTGCCAGACGCATTTTCATAATTTATGTTTGGGCTTACATTATGGATGTCGCAATGCGGCAGAGGACGCCATCCGTCATAATGGGTGGTGAGTAGCTTGGTGTGGGAAGGGGTTGAAATGGGAGGGGCAAGGAATAAGGGCTCACTCAATCTGATGAGTCATATTCTACAGGATCAAACGCAATACAAAAAGCACTGGTCCAGACCTGCACTTTGACTCCTCTCGAGCGCAGCCGAAGAAAGCTGTACACAAAATGGAAACGAAAGACGAGAAGTCGTGTTGTTGCGCGTGGGAAAACTTCGAGTAGATCAGCAGCAGAGCGGAAGCGATTGTTATTGCTATCCTTGTCTGTCTGGCGGTCGGTCCTACTACAATTGTGAAAAACCGCAATCACTGCTTATGTACTGCTCCCTCCCCACCATCAACCTTCCTTCTTCTTTCTCCTTTATCTTCTCGGCTTCGATCTGCTGGCTGTGAGAGCGACATGTTGCCGACACATGTTGCTAGTGCAGAGAGGGGCGTCTTCTTCTGAACTTTTTGCAAAAACAAATTGCAGCATGTGTCGTAGTTGTTGTTGCTAAAAAATTTAAATGTAAATGTCAAAAGAGTTTGACAGTCACTGAAGAATCGCGTGGGAAAATGCCAAACAGTGCGAACAGGAAATAGCAAAGTAATACATATGTTTGTATGTATGAATGTACTTCTAGAAATTTCAACGAATGAAATGAAATCATGTTTTTTGCTGCTGCTGATGATCTAAAATCGAAAGAATTTAGGCCCCCAGCGACAATGAGAGCTTTTTTCTGCCAGACAGTCTGCGGGATAGAGAAATAGAGCGAGAGAGAGAGAGAACTGTGTCATAAAAATCGCAGACGAAGCTAAAGGAAAATAAACAAGAAAGTAGAGGAAAATGGCAACAGCAACAACATTTGTTATTAAACAATTCAAGGCGCCAAAGTAGACAAAAAAGAGGTAGGGGAATTGAGGGAGGACCATAACGTTCTCATGCTCTTCGAGTGTGTTTTATTTTATGACTTATGGCACCGACGCGTTGTAGTGATGCAAGCAAATATTCCAATTGCCAATTTAGTTGTGTACAGTACAAGCTTCCTTGTCGTCTTGAATGACGCCTCTCGGAATTTCCTTCGCTTTCAGAAAGTAATTACATTTTTGTGTGACTTTTGTAACATGTGCCCACTGTGCGCCACCGCAAATTCTCGAACTATCTTCATATCTGCTGTATATTTTTTGTATAGGCTTTTTAAATAAAATAAAATTCTTGTACATACATAGTATACATATTACATCATTTGCCATTTAATTTTTCTTCGTCGACCCCCGCCCCAAGCTCTCTCTGGGGGAGGATTAGAAGTGAAACCGTGATAGGGGGAGATTAACCCTGTGGAAGGGGGTTCTCCCTATTCTATCCATAGAGTGTCTTCTCTCATCTGCTGCACTTTTTTTGTTTTCGTTTGTTCTTATTTCTCTTTTGACGATGCACTTGTCCCTTTTTTCGGGCATCCCTTTTGCGCTGTCTGTCCGCTTGCCCGTTCGGTCTCTTTATTCCACTCTTTCCTCTCTCGCTTGCTAATTGTAAAGGGCAAAAGGCGTCGTCGTCTGTGCTTATCACTAAACCCCTGCCACTGCCCAGTCACTGCTACCCCTTCTCACAAATGTTGCGCAACATGTGGTGTGGCCAGGGGGTGGAGTGTGTGTGTGCATTTTATTTGCAATTGTAATCAAAAGCAGCAACAAGGCAGCTTCCTCTTTGTCAGTCGTCTCTCTCTTTGATCTTAGCTTGCCTAGCAACAAAAGTTGCCAAGCTTTGTGCCGGATCTCAGCAGAGCAACACACACACACAGCATTTGTTTGGTTTTCTGCTGCTTACAGCAAACTGGTTTTTCTGGTTTGAGAGCGTCTGAAAGCAAGAGAGAGGTAGTGGTAGACAGCAGAGGCGGGGAAGCTGTGCTCTGGCGATGAGAGAGGGTAAACCGTTAGTTAACTAAGGCAAAAGCTCTCCTTTTGATCAACCCTGTTTGGAATGCAGTTTCTGGCAAGGGGGATAGAGAAGGCGAGACTGCATTGTTGATTGTTTATTTTATTTTATTATTATTTTGATATCAGCCGTAGGACTGCAAATCATCCCCATTTATTGATTATAATTATCACTGCTTCCTTCTCAATCTCTGGTTCGGGTTTAAAGCTGTTGTTGCCAAATGCAAAGTTGTTTCGCTGTTTTTGTGCCGCATTCCAAAACTCAAGTCCAGTCTACCAGAAGCATCTTCTCTCCTGGTGAGGCTTCTTCCCCATCCCCTCTCTGCTCTTCATCTTTCTACCCTTTCCAGTCTTGGTCATTCTTAATAAAAAATGGCCGACCAGGCAGCGCATTCCAGCATTTGTCGGTTATGACGGGGGCAGGGGTGGGTGGCCATCTTGGTGGTCTGTGGCTTGTCTAGCCATGGAATGGAATGTGGAATGGAACGATGACGTTGGCAAAAAGAGAATAAAAGACAAAACGACGAAAAAAACATGTCGCGTATGTTCTCATTCTCTCTCTTATTGTACCCTCTGCAAGCTAGGATATGATTGTTATGGCCAGGTGCAAGCGGCCTCTGTTATGCTTTCTGGCTGAAATTTTGCACAAGTCCTTATTTTGCGCTGTGCGGCGGCATCGTAAGGGTGTTAAAGTGACGGAACCGCTCAGATCGAATCAAATTAGGTAAGGAAAGAAGTCTTGTTTGGACCTAAAAGAGTATAAAAAGCTTCGGCCTTGGAGCTTGTCATTGCTTTCTTGAGTCGTTCTGGGTCTCGCTCTGGTCATCTCTTCTTCCATCTCTTTCTCGCTCTCTTTCTGTACAGGTTTTGATTTCGTTGCGGTTTAAGCCTTGAATACACTTGATCTTGCAGCAACTTGTCATCATCCCATGCTCTCTTTTACTCCCCCTCGTACCAACCCCCTGTTGCCAGGTCAAAAATTTTTGTACGCTTTTTTTTACTGTGTTTGCACAGTTGTTTTTTTTTATTATTATTAATGAACAAAAAACGTTAAAAAAATATGGCAAATATTAAAACAGTTTGCGAAGCCCCTTTAGAATTTTGATCAAACAAATGGAAAAATTCAAATCGATTAAATTGAGAAAGATCTAAAGCTTGCCAAAAATAAAAAAATTAAATAAAATGCATTTTGACACTTTACAAAAATTTGTCCACCCACTGTTCCCCGCTGCAGCTTTTACGGCTTCCGACCTATCTCTTGTCTGCTGCTGCTGCATCGTTTTGACGTAGGTTCAATGTACAATGTGAAAAAGTAACGGAAATGGTAAATTAGCAAAACGGAAGAGCGAGAAGGAGCGAGAGTAAGAGTCTGAGAAACAGCCGCATATCTGCCCTGCACTTGTCGCTAGCAGCAAAAAGAAAAATAATAACTAGCAAAACCAGAGACAAATAACCTTAAGAAGGCGGACAAAAATAATAGCTATGACGTCAGCATAGAGAGAAGGGCGTCGTCACTTGAAATCCGTGCAAATCTATTGCTTCCTGAATTTTGATATTCTACTGCCTGACACACTAATCCGCTTTAGCAATTCTCCGTCTCGTTCCCATCATCCCCTGACTAAGCCATACCTATGTATGGCCCTCCAAGGGGTCATTTAACTTGAAAAAGAAAAAAACATTTGCAGGGCTTTTGGTAATGGAAAAATAAGATTCCGACTACATATGCGGAATATATCGAGTTCTGTGGTGTTTCAGAATCCCAGCCATACCAGCACTAGTTTACTGAGTAGATATTCGTATAATCTCTATAGATCTCTCTAACAGTCTATTTCTCCGTCTCTATTTTGCAGATGAGGAAATCGATGTAGTTTCATACCCAGACAAGAAGCAATTGCAATTTCCCGTCGGTGAACTGTCCCTGCTGAAAGAGGTGGCCCACCAAATCTCGAATGGAATCAACCAAAAGAAACAGCGCTACGGTAACTACATTATGCCGTGTACGCCAGCGAGCAGTAGTCCGGTCAAGTCGGTGGCCAATTCGCGCTACCCCTCGCCTTCGAGCACACCCTACCAAGCCTCTTCGCAATCGTACTCGCCTCTGACCGTTGACTCGTCTAACGCCAGCAGCAGCAGTAGCAGCAGCAGCAGCTCTAGCTCTGGCTATGGATGCGGCGTGGCCACCAAGGGACACAAGCGCTACTACCTCAAGGTCAACGGCAGTGCCAACGGTAACATAAGCGTCGGCAGCAGCGGTATGTCCATGCATAAGATGGCCAACAATAACAACAGCAGTAGTAGTAGAATCATCAGCAAAAAGTGTCGCAGCAAAAAGTCCACCCCATTCTCGAGCTGCTCCTCAGAGCTGGGGTCGCCAGTGAGCAGCACTGAGGCTGATGCCTCCAATAACTGGATGAGCGATATGAGCACCATGAACAGAATACCCAAGCATAATTCTACCGCTAAAGTGGCCGCTATAGCTCGTAGCAGTCAGCCTTTTAGCGTGGACGAGGCCGACACCATCGAGAAGCGCAACCAGCACAATGACATGGAGCGCCAGCGCCGCATTGGCCTGAAGAACCTATTCGAAGCTCTCAAGAAGCAGATCCCCACCATTCGTGACAAGGAGCGCGCCCCAAAGGTGAACATACTGCGCGAGGCTGCCAAGCTCTGCGAACAGCTGACTCACGAGGAGCACGACCTGGCCATGGAGTACCAGCGGCTCAAGGAGAAGAATCGCAAGCGCCAGGAGCTGTTGTCGCGCCTGCGCGCAGCCTCCACAGTCCATACAGTAACTGATGAGAGCCGTAAGTGGGTGGGTCAGAGACCTAAATAGATCCAATATTGAGTGTTGGTTGGGTGATGATGCGGCGGCGTATTTGTAGAGCAGCAGGCGAAACGATATAACGAATATGATCTATGATATACTAGCGTAAGGCCCATTTACGTTCGATACGGTTTACTATTACTATTACTATTTTTTTTTTTTTTTTTTTGCTCTTGACTATAAGCATTTTTTGAAACTTCAATATCAGTTGGTAGGATACGATCTAAGGTATAGGATAAGAGGCCATTGTATATATTTTGGGTCTTGCTTTTCACTCAATTTCCTGCTACCGCTCGAGTGGGGAGGGCGATATCGAAGTGATTTATCAAATTTGATTTCTTTAATGTGATATATATAATTTTCTGAACCCGATTTGATTTTGGTTTCTTGGGGAGATCGCGTCAAGGAAGTGGTGAGGTTAAGGAGGAGACCCAGGAAAAGAGGAAAAGAAAAAAAATTAACAAAAACTGTTTTATGTAACCAAGTTGAAGTTTCATATAGGTACACAAATATAGCTATAGGCTACGTTAAGATTAGTTCTAGGGTTAGGATTCTGTACTCTAGGCTACATTATTACGCTTTTTTTTTTTTGAATTAGTTACTTAACTTAACATGAAGTAAACAGAAACGGAACTGGAACCGAACCGAGAAGAGAACCAGGACATTGAACCAATCAATGAAAACCTAACGAAATGAAACAACAAGAAAAGAAAGGAAAGGAAGAAAAGGAAACGAAAACGAAAGGGAAATAAAACGGGAGAACGGAAAACAGACAAAAGTTACAACGAAAGAGCCACAAAGAAAAAGAGAAGGAGGAGACCAAGAGAGTGCGTGAAGAAATGAGGAGGAGGGGACAAATGCAGATCTGTCCATGGAATAGGAAGAGCGAGCGGCAGGGTATGGGATAAAGCTGAAAGTATAACTTTTGGTTGATAAGGCTTCCCTCAGAAAGGTTCCCGACTTTTAGATAAAGCCAGCGCAACGGGATCGAACGATTTATTTCTGAAGAATCCTATCCCATATCGTCGCTCTATATACAGACACATGCAAGGGGAAACTTGATTCACATCTTGTTCGATAGTTGATAGAGTTACAACTAAACCAGAATATATATATTTATATACATGTAGATAGTATATATATTGTATATATATTGGATATATCTTTTTATATGCGCTTTAATTGGTATACGGATCCATCCCATCCCTCTACACAAACGCATATATCTACATTTATATTTATAAAGAAGACGCATCCCTTGAGAAGATCAGACCCAAAAGCACAACTACCCGTATGGGACACTTGAATGCTTTTGCTTAGAAACACTTTCCCAGACCGGAGGAAACGCTTTTTATACACTCACCCAAGAAATACTTGAACGCTACTGCCTATAGAAAGAAAATACATTTAATTTGCTATGAAGATTTGCATATGATATATATATATATATATATTTATACAACTGGAAAACTTTTACAATTGTGTATACATGTATAAACTTGTACATACATACACAGCATTTTGACACTTTTTGCTGTTTTTTTTTCTTCTTTTTTTTGTTTGCTATGTGTAGGATATTCTTTTTTAACCGGATAACTATGCATATGAAATGCACGAAACTTAACGAAAATAAAATAGAATGGAGAATTAAGAAAACTATATAATAGTGCTACCACCCTAGAAAAAGAATGGGGGGAGAAAGGAAGAGAAGTTGGCTGCAAAGTTTGTAGTTGGGGAGATAGCCCCCCAGATAACACCCAAACCTAGACCTAACCCAAGAGAACTCAAACTTTTGTGAGCTGTTTAACTGTCGATTTTTGCTAATAAGTTATAGCCGGGTAATATGTTATATATGATTACCGATTAAACCAATTGTTTACACGCATATATACAACTATATATATATATAAATATATATATATTTATACATATATATTAAAATCAACTATATAACCACTATATACAAATATCTATATATATATACAACTAAACGATGCGAAAAGTAAATGAAGTAAAAACGAAAGCGACACTATAAACCACAATTCAAAGGAAATGTAAACTGTTATTTAGGTTTAGACACAAAACAAAATAGTTATAAATGATGACCAGAACTATATACACCATATAGGCTAGGGCGTGAGAAACAGTGAGAGCGAAAGAAAGAGGGATGGAGTATATACGAAACGCGACGAAGGCAAGCAAACATTTTTTAATTTAAAGTGAAGCTTCACCGAAATTTAGGCGTTAACCTTCTACCATACATATTACCATGCCTGAAAGATTGATATATTTCCTAAAGATACTTTTTTTTGTTTAAGCATTCTGATTTATATGATGACATCGTTACATATATTCTTCGATTTTTTTACGCCGCCGCAAAGTTTTTTTAAATTTCTAAATATTACTTCAAGATTTAACGCTATTTTACAGTATATAATTAAACTAAACTACAAAAAAAAAAAAAAAAAACTGTTAATGCATAAACTATACCATACCAATGGTATATTGCCTCTAGAAGATAGAGAAACAAACGATTGAACTTGGTAAATTTTTTCTAAGCAATGTTTTCAGAAATATGTACACACTGTATATAGAAATCTCGTTAAATAATAGTTACACACACACACAGACACACACATACACACCCCACACCCACTGAAACATGAAACTGAAAATATGCAAAGTAGAAACAGAGAGAAATATTTTTGTAAGAGCCGGAGAGAAAACACAAAGCAATAGACTTAAGCGAAATTGTACAACGCGAAAAACGAAACAAAGAAAAACCAACTTCAATAAACCAACAAAAATACACCTATACACATATGTATATATATACATATATATAATATATGTATACCACACACAAAAATACACACGAATGCACCTAATTTCCTATAGTACATACAAGCAGAAATAGTTTAAAACAACCCTGTTTTTCTGTCCATTTCCATGATTTGGGCGATACGGAGATAAACAAAAAGAAAAACCGTACAAATTTATCAAACAATAAACAAATATAAGAAAATGTAATGACAAGAATAAAACACTTTCTTTGTTTGTTGCAATTAATTTATTGTTTGTTAAAAGAAACCAACCACTAAAAATAAAACAACAGACAAAAGTGAAGCATTTCTAAACATTTAATTCTTTAATTTCGAATTAAACGAAAGATACAAAAAATAAAACATGAAAAACTATGACCAAAACCAAAATCCTCGCAAATAAAACAAAAAAGATACAACTTTTTTTTGATTATACAATACTTTAAAAATTGAAACATTTTTTATGTTTAGTTATAAATATATATATATTTTTTTTTATTATGGAATTTTTTTTATATGTATACAAACACAAACTACTATTTGATTTAGTTGTTAAACACTTATTATTAAACAAAGCGTAAAAAAAAGTAAACATATGTAAAAACTTGTGTAAAAAAAAGGGAAAAATACTTTGAAACAAAGCAAAAAAAAAAAAACATGAAATATGTTAAAAAACTGAAAGAAAATGTTTCAATAGGGGGAGAAACCAATCTACAGACGAGAATGAATAAAATATTGAACATATATAAAATTTAACGTTAATTTTGTTTTGCATTTAAAAAAAATTATTTGCAAAAAATTATTTGGCTGAAATTGACCCAAGATTTTTGTTCACTTTGGTTATAGCTTATTAAATATACTACTGCAAACAGAATTCGCTAAAACTATGTATAAATATATTATCTAATATTTTTAACTCGTTATGTAGTTACCTATTAATGAAAAAACCCATTGAATGCGAAGAAAATGAGAAAAGTAATAACAATAAATTACATTTTATGTACCTCTTACATATACGATCTATACATAAACACAAAATATACACACACAGAAACTTATATATACACACAAAGCAACTATACATAGAGAAATCAACCGTTTAAATAATTTTTTTTCTTCAAAATTTATGATTATCGCTTTATACAATAAAAATATTTCAACATACCAAGAAAAAACTTAAATTTTTAATTTGTTTTTCATTTGATTTCCGTTTACCAACAGAATTTTTATTTTCAAGCCTTTCAGACCAGACCTTTATCTTCATGATATGTATGGAATGTATTTTGATAATATGTATAATACGAGCACATGGTAGAGTTATTTATCATTCATAAAAAAACCTTTTTCCCCTCAGAACAGCCATTATGGCCACAAAGAGAGGGAAATTTGATTCAAGTGATTCATTCACAATGATTCATTTTGTGGTGGAATCATATGGTCAATGGTGGGGGTGGTTGGAATGCTCGAAATTGGTTTTGTCGCCGTTTCTAATCAAGCGGGGCATCACTATTTTAATTCAGTGGGGTGTTGGCCACGCCCACTGCCACACCAATTAAGTTAATTCAATAAAATTGTTGTTGCTTACCAGCGAAAAATTGAATAAAATCTGCTATCGCGAATGCGAACACAAACGTGACAACGATATGAATACATTCATACACATGCATATGTATATTGTACATATGTATGTATTTTCATAGAAGAAGCAGTAGCAGAAAAGCCGGTCGGTAGAGACGATCCAACAACACTATTATAATAAAATAACATTTTTTTTCCTTCGTTTCGTTGATTTTATCAACAAAAAAAATGGTGTAGCAAAAAGAAAAAAGATGAAAGGAAAGTCTGGAGGCGAGTTGACCGATGGGGGTAATGCTCTGCTTTATAAATGTCCACACAACACAGAATATTTGTGATTTGTTTTATAAAATAATTTTATATTTTAATCGACTGACTTTTCCCATCTATGACATTACTGGTATCAGAGCGGGCATGCCCTTCCATAGCAAAGGGTACACAGATAAGAAGCCGGCAAACGCATACATGCACATATGCACACAGATAAGAAGCCGGCAAACGCATACATGAACATATGCACACACACACACTCACACACCCACATACGCAGTCGAATGAGCAGACATAATCACGGACAGGCGGACAGGTACAGAGACAGCAAAATTGGCGTGCACAATTGTTTAACTGCAAAAAGAAAAAAAAAAATAAAACCAGCAACATTTGTTTTGTACACTCTGACCGCGGTCGGTCGCTTTATTGGGTGAAGGTCATGCCAGACTGCGCTGCTGTGTGCGCCGGTGACTGCGACTGCGTCTACTTTTGTTTATCTTTGTTTTCACTCTTTTTTTACTTTTATTTGTTTTGTTTGTTTTTATTACTATTCTTATTGCAGATTTTTACTAACCTAAGCCTTCAACGGCTTTTTGGCTTTTTGGGGGCATGTTTAACCGCTCCACTCAGGGGATTGGGCTTGTCTTTGGATGCACAGGGAAGAGTGGTGGGGATTAGATTAACTGTCACTACATATAACTAGGACTATTAATTCGATTAGAGAATAAACAACTATGACAAATAACTCACTCATTAAATATCGGGTAGGGAGCTGGCAACCTAGTGATAGGCTAGGAAAACTATACTTCTGGGTTACGACTTTGAACATAAATAATAAATATTATGTTCCGTGTAATGCTAGTGCTCACCCAACGTCTCTCAAGGATTGTTGCCATACGTAAAACTTGATAATGTTAATCCTTCCCCAGGCGAAGATAGTTACTTTGATTCACAGCTATGGATCGCACTAAACCCAATTTTAATTCGTAATTTACACCGTGCATTCTTCCTGACGGTCAAAGTTCCAACTTATCTATGACTCGATCACTTCATCAAATGTCACAGTTCACACATGCATTAAATCACAATTTCACCCATGACCAAACCGTTAAACTTCTCGTCGACTCTTGTGGACGCAATTAACTTTTTGGGGTCTCATTTTTCAGCTGGTTTGAGTAAGTTTTTGCAGTAATTTGGTGTTCCTTTTGTTGCGAAATTCGTAAATTAAACGCTTCTGCCAAAAGCACCCTCTCGCCGTCGCCGGCTCACCACCCCTCCCCATCGATTTCTTTTCTTAACGTTTTTTGAACATGTGAGGCACGTGTATGTAAAGTTATTTCAGTCACTGTTTAGCGTATATTTTTGTTAATTTATTGCTTAAATTTGATTTGAGTTGGCAAGAACTGGTCACTGGGCAAATCTGGAAATTTGCTAGACGCCAAGGTCATTCCAACCCACACGAACACTCGCATTCGCACAAAGATACACAAAGAACTAAGTTAGCAGAATCAAAAGTACAAAATAGTCATAGAACCAAAACTGTAAAATAAAGGCACAAAAAATATTGGGATAAATACAGATTAAATAATTAAGAAAACCCAAAAATTATGATAAAGATACTAAATACAAAAAAGTAAAAAATTGCAAATATCGGACAACAGTAAATGCTTAACAGACAGCTTTAAACCACATAATGAAAAACAGAAATATTCAACAGGCTTCAATAGTTCAACTAAACTGAAAAACGATGAGCAAAGGAAGAATAGTGTGTGAAGTAGTAAGGAATAGACTTTTGTAAAGTTTTGTATTTTTTCGAAAATATTTACTAAGTCTTTTTTTTAAATATATATTAATGCATATATGAACATTAGTACATAAATATGTATGTAGTATAGAATCGCAACCAAGATCAATAATAATGTTATATTAAAATAACGAAATATTTGAAATAAATTATGTAATACTAATACTATAGTACACACACTATGTAAACAATATTCACAAACAATTATATATATAAAGAAAAATCACAAAAATCACAACAAATAAAATATACATGTGCAAACATATGTAATGCATATTATGTGCATAAAACATGAAAACTTTATGGAAATAAAGCCAAGGCGAATACGTAAAGAAGAACTGAAACTTAGTTCAGGATAAAGACAACGTGAAAGGAGAGCTTAAAGAAAAATAAAACTTGTGTAAAAAGAGTAGGCAAAGTGGCAGACGAAATGAAATTAATAAACGAAACGATAAGCCACACAAAAAAGTCATAAGTGCGTTGTAAGAGTATTAATATACGAACTATGCAGGTACATACATACATATGTATACATATATGTATGTACATATGTGGGGCGGATAAGATCAGCCTCCACAGCGTCAAACTTTTTAGCTGGCTTCAGGATGGAAAACTACCTCTGTTTACCCAGAATCACCTCTAAACTTTGTGGTCAAAACCCTGAATGAAAAGGCAACAGAAGCAGTGTCTTAAGAAATAAGTGCTTCCATATTGAGAACGCTTTGCTAATGGAGTTCCAAACGGTTGAGGACTCTAGCCTCCACATCTGGCCCCTTGACTTCGTTTATCGATCGGCTCGTGTCTCTTAATGGAAGGAACGATCGTCTTTCGGTTCATATCCTCTTTCGCTATATTCAGTCTCTCTGATTCACTTGCAGATTCTTTTCCAGGCAGATGCGGTCGAAGCTGGCCAGGGGCCAGCTGCAAGTATTCAGACATTTTTTTTTTTGAATATTCTGGGGTATAAATGTCACAAAACTGGTCTGTACAGATGAGAGAGCCAAACCCCCTTCTTAAAGTATTCACCTCGATATTCTTTTATAACTTTTTTTGCTCTTTCTTTTTTAATTATGTATAGATTTAGTGCCTTGCAGCTTGCGGAAAGTACGCTAATGGGGATGGGCAGGGGGCAGGTTGACTGGGAAGGGGAAGCGGTGGCAACAGGTGCAAGTTCTCAATCGATGGAGTCAACAGTGATGAAATGAAATGAGGGCGCTTTACCATTCATACACTAACATAATTTGGGGTATATGGACTGTAAGATTGAAAAAAACGTGGGCTAAAGACTAAGTAAGAACAGTTTGATCGGCATTCTCATATTTTTAAGGCGTAAATGAAAATAAATGAGAAAACTAAACTGTTCCTCATTCACGAGAAATTTCTGAGATCTTCACTTAACGTAAAGTTTCCCGACGACCAACTCCAAACCAAAGATTTCAATCACTACACAAGCTGAACAGCAAAGCTGAAGTACTCATATATTTCAAAGGAGAGTTTATTCTGGCCGACAGGACGAGGCAGTGCAAGGTGTTGGCTAGGCACGG